AGATTTCACAGAACCACGACCAAAAAAAAAAAAAAACAGAATGCGTGTTTTGATCTTGTTTATAATTAGGAATATTTAGAGAATTTTGGTGATGATACAGTAGGCTTGGGGTTAATAGCCTGCAGGTTCTGTGGCATTTGCCACATTTATTGACAGTAATTCAATAGGCGATTTATGAAGATGTCAATGTTCATCACATGGCACACTGGGGGCCTGGTTGTAACCTTTCGTAATAGACATGCTTAAGCAGCTATGTCATTGAGTTCCAGGGGTAATGTCACCTGAGTGGAACGTTACGCTTGTCAAGTTGTAAATTAACTCAGCTCCCACTCTCTTATGAAAGACAATCTGGAGGACAACATGTAGAAAACACTCCTCTGGCTAAAGGCATTTTACACATGGCTGGGTAATCTCCCATCATGCTGGTGTATTGATTAGTCCCAGAGATATCCAGAGGGAGATATAATGTTCCAGACACTACTTCTCTAATCATCCTGTAGTTGTAAGAGAAAAGAGGGTTTCTGTAATAATATTAAACCTGGGAGTCTGAGAATGAAGGGCAGACTGTACTTGCGTGACTCTCTCTATTTAAGTAGACTGCAGGGTCCAGTACTGTCATGAAGTGTGAGGAAGGCTTTTGTTCTGCGGTATGTGTGTTTTGGCTGTGTTCAGGTCCTGTAATATGATCTGTGTAAATGTAGGTACTGTAGAGCACTTCCTTCGTCTGTACTCATTTTGAGCTCAAGTGACTTGACATTTCAGTGTCTGTTTTAGGGGTGAGATAATGCCTGATGGTATTGCAAAAGTTATTTATATCCAAAATGTAGTTGTTCCAGGTGCTTAACCAAAATACTTATGATGAAAAAAAAAATGTAAAAACAATCATCGGAGCAGTGTATGTGTGAATGAGCATTTTTATATGGTATTACAACAAAACATAAAAAAAATAAATAAATACAATGTAAATATAAAAATGGAATGTGTGTAAAATAAAATAAAAACGCACAGACACTACCGTTCAAAAGTTCAAAAGGGAACAGCAATAATACTTTTTTAAAGCAAGGATGTATTAAATTGATCAAAAGTGACAGTAAAGGCTTTTACATTGTTTCTAATAAATAAATAAATGTTGTTCATCACAAAATGTATCTCAGATACCACAAAAATATTAAGCAGCACAACCGTTTTCAACTGTGATCATTTTAATCTTTAGAAATGTTACTTGAGCATATAAGAATGATTTCTTATATAAGAATGAAAACAGTCATTTTAAATTATTATATTATTTTACAATATTACTGTTTTACTATGATTTTGAATATAAATGCAGCCTTGGTGAGCATAAAAGACATCCTTCTAAAACATAACATATATGTGTGCACTGTGCAGATACAATTTACACTTTGTTCGGTGTCATTTCTGCAACAAACGTGATTCTTGAGTTGTGTACATTTATGTAAATCATACAAACTGATTTTATTTGATGTACCCTCCATGTGAAAGTCAATTGTGCTAATAAACCACAGGCTGGTCATTGACATGACAATAGCACCTATAATATTTAGCATATGTTTAGCCAGAGTTTACTTTAAGATGCTTTAGATTAAGATTAGATTAGAAAATGAGAAACCAGAAGCTCTTAATTGTTTCCATGATGCGATCCACAAGGCCTGTCATACATAACAGAGGGATTTGATGAATTTGGGTTTACTGGTGCATGTCTATCTTCTCCGAGCAGCTCTGAAACCAAGCTCGGCGTGAGTGAGTGATATAGAGAGTTAGTAACCCTATTTTCCATCCTGACTTCATCTGGTGGAAATACATTTGTGCATGTGGGCACCAGTGGCTTGTCTTATCTACATATGCAGGCTGGATTATGTAGAAATGGTCATCTTTAAAATGAATTTTTTATTTATTTGTTTATTTTTTTAATTGACAATAGATTTAGTGGGTGGGCACATCTGCACATGTGCACAGTTCATAGAATTATCCATGGGTGAGTGTGTGTGTTTATGTGTCGTATGTTAATGTGTAACAGACGGGTGCACCGATTCACATCAATAACAATAATAAAAAATGATAAAATTACTGATATAATCAATCACCATAGTATTGTGCACCCATTGCACATTGTATTGCACTCGGACTTGATATAAAGCTAAGGGTTCAAAAGTTTGTGTGTGTTTTTATATGTGACTGTTATTGCTCCAGGTTTTCACGTGCATGGACACGACTGCTGCAGTTTATTGTTGCACGCAGGCCATTATCAAACCCCCATCAGGTTTTCATCTGACAGCTCTCTGTGTATTGATCCTCTACCCTTTTGAATGCCTCTGGGCTGTGTAATTAGCCCCATATGAGGAAACAGCATGGTAACCAGAGCTCTACGTTCTACCAGCACTCTCATGCACTAGACTTTAGTTCTCCCTAAAGAACATGCATACCTCAGACGCTCCCATTACGTCAGAGAGCAAACACTTGCTTTCTCTGATTATGTGATGTGTTTCCAGGTGAAACAGAGGATTTAGGTGGAAATAATGTTGGGTGGAGCTTGATTCTATCCAAAGACTGATTGAACGAAAGATTGGATAGGGAAAAATTATGTTGTGTGGTGTTACTGGTTAATATTGTTTTCCCCAGCCACTGAAAATGTAAACATTTGGATTTTCTCTGATGTGTTCTACATATTTACTGCAATGTACTCATAAAAATACTCATTCACTGCTCCGGGTGTGTGTGTGTTCACGGTGTGTGTGTGTTCACTGCTGTGTGTGTGCACTTTGGATGGGATAAATGCAGAGCACTAATTCCGAGTATGGGTCACCATACTTGGCCACATGTCACTGTCATGTCATGTGTGATGATTTATCAAAAATATTATGCTATCTAGCTGTCTAACTCAACAACAATGAATTGAAAGTATTAATTTCTTATCATGAAAATGTGTATTTTTAATACTATAGAAAAGCAAATGCACATGGTATGATAACCGTATAATAACTCTGTTAAGATATTTTGTGTCAGAGCTATGAACAGTTTAACATGCTGAACGTTTGTTTACAGTGCATTTTCATAAGTTGTAGTTTCAGTTGTTAAAGGGATAGTTCACCCAAAAATGATAATTCTGTCATTAATTACTTACCCTCATGTCGTTCTAAACCCGTAAGACCTTATTAAGATATTTTTTATGAATTCTGAGAGGTCTCTGACCCTCCCATAGTCAGCTGCGTCACGCGGATATGTTGTTTTCGTTCAAATCAAAGCATAAACAACGTAGACAACGTATCCGCGTGACGCAACTGACACAGAATAGCATACGCTGTTTATGTTCAGTGGATACTCTCTAAAATGGCACCAGGGTGACGTGGAGGAGACGAATTGTGGAATAAAGTTGTTATTTTTGTTTTCTTTGCGTACAAAAAGTATTCTCGTAGCTTCGGTCTTACGGGTTTAGAACGACATGAGGGTGAGTAATTAATGACAGAATTTTCATTTTTGGGTGAACTAACTCTTTAAATCACACTGGAACATTTATTTAATTGGCTGAAATGGGTAGACCTGAACTCTAACCATAATTGTTCCTCTTGGCCAGTACCAGTACCACATACCCCTTGTATAGTATAAATATGTCCCAAAAAAAATTAATTCAGGAAGTTATGCAGTGTATACAGAACTCAGTGTTTCTTGTGGTCTTTTGCAGAATGTGTATGTGAACATCAGTCGGATCATGTCCGTGGGGAACAGGCTGCTGGAGTCAGGTCACTATGCAACCCAGCAGATTCAGCAGATCTCAGGTCAGCTGGAACAGGAGTGGAAAGCGTTTGCCGCTGCACTGGATGAGAGGAGCACGCTGCTGGAGATGTCTGCTAACTTCCACCAGAAAACTGACCAGGTGAGGCCTAAATGTGCAGACGCATGTACCTACAGATACATTGAGTGGCCAAGTAAACTGATGCATTGATGATGTTGATGCAGTGTTTGTGTTAATTACTACAACTAATAACAAACAAAATTCTATGCAACATATCATCCAGATGCTGTAGTAGCAAAAATATTCAGCCAAATCGAGTTGCCGAGTAAGTATGTACTGTATGCTAGAAAGGATTTCAGATTTTAAAGAACGATGTGTTGTTCACATACTTAAATTTTAAAGCCTTTACACTAGGGCTGGGCGATAAATCGATAACGATAATTATCGCGCGATATAAATTTCCTCGCTAAATGATAACAAGGGTTTAATAAATGTTCGATATAACGTTTGCGGCAAAGGCAGAACGAAAGAGCGCTAGTCATTTGAAGCGCGCCACTCGGAGCGTTTATTCGCTCGGATCAAAGTTAAAAAAGCAGCGTGAGCTTCACCAGCCCTGCGTTCCATTCGGAAGGGCTCATCCCTATGCCCTAATCCCTTCAAAGGGTTAGAGGGCAATATATCCCATTTGGAACGCACGGTAAAGCAGATGCGTTCACTCGCTGATGAGTCTCGGTCATGTGACCACTGAACAGCGCTCCTGTACAGAGATCCAGTGTGAAGCGCTTGAATTCAGTGAGGAACACAAATCATTCTGTTTACAGCCAGATGAAACAGCGCTGACAAACAGCAGAAACACTGTGCACAATGATACAGTCAGAAGACTTTTTAATCTACAAATCGCCATCATTTACTGTAGTAGACGGCCACCGGGACAAGACCACAGGAACCAGTTGAGTCCTCTGCTCAATGTGACTTTGCTGCAGCCTGGAATTGAACTGCTGGTTTCGTCTGGCCAAAGGAGAACTGGCCCCTCGACTGAGCCTGGTTTCTCCCAAGGTTTTTTCTCCATTCTGTCACCGATGGAGTTTTGGTTCCTTGCCGCTGTCGCATCGCCTCTGGCTTGCTTAGTTGGAGAAACTCAATTTCCAGCGATACTGTCGACTTGAT